GGTGGAAATCTGTGGAGGGGGGCACTGCACACGGCTAAACAATAATTTGTGTGTCTATGGGGTGCCCCCTCCCCCGTATATAAAGGAGTGGAGGAGGGGGAGGGCCGGCCCTCTATGGCGCGCCCAAGGGGGGAGTCCTACTCCCGGTGGGAGTAGGATTCCCCCTTACCCTTGTTGGAGTAGGAGAGAAGGAAGGGGGAGAGAGGGAGAAGGAAAGGGGGGCCGACACCCACCCCAATTCGGATTGGGCTTGGGGGTGCCCCCCTCCTAGGCCGCCTCCTCCTCTCTTCCACTAAGGCCCATTAAGCCCCATACACTCCCCGGGGGATTTCGGTAATCCCCGGGTACTCCGGTAAATGCCCAAACTCATTCGGAACCATTCTGATGTCCAAACATAGCCTTCCAATATATCAATCTTTATGTCTCGACCATTTCGAGACTCCTTGTTATGTCCATGATCATATCCGGAACTCCGAACTACCTTCGGTACATCAAAACACATAAACTCATAATACCGATCGTCACCGAATGTTAAGCGTGCGGACCCTACGGGTTCGAGAACTATGTAGACATGACCGAGACTCGTCTCCGGTCAATAACCAATAGCGGAACCTTGATGCTCATATTGGTTCCTATATATTCTACGAAGATCTTTATCGGTCAAACCGCATAACAACATACGTTGTTCCCTTTGTCATCGGTATGTTACTTGCCCGAGATTCGATCGTTGGTATCCCAATACCTTGTTCAATCTCGTTACCGACAAGTCTCTTTACTCGTTCCGTAATGCAACATCCCGTGACTAGCTCATTAGTCACATTGCTTGCAAGGCTTATAGTGATGTGCATTACCGAGAGGGCCCAGAGATACCTCTCCGATACACGGAGTGACAAATCCTAATCTCGATATATGCCAACTTAACAAACACCATCGGAGACACTTGTAGAGCATCTTTATAGTCACCCAGTTATGTTGTGATGTTTGATAGCACACTGAGTGTTCCTCCTGTATTCGGGAGTTGCATAATCTCATAGTCATAGGAACATGTATAAGTTATGGAGAAAGCAATTGCAGTAAACTAAACGATCAAAGTGCTAAGCTAATGGATGGGTCAAGTCAATCACATCATTCTCTAATGATGTGATCCCGTTAATCAAATGACAACTCATGTCAATGGTTAGGAAACTTAACCATCTTTGATTAACGAGCTAGTCAAGTAGAGGCATGCTAGTGACACTCAGTTTGTCTATGTATTCACACATGTACTAAGTTTCCGGTTAATACAATTCTAGTATGAATAATAAACATTTATCATGATATAAGGAAATATAAATAACAACTTTATTATTGCCTCTAGGGCATATTTCCTTCACTCTTCCCCTCTCGTTGCTATGCATCACCTAGATGGATCTTGCGTATGCGTAGGATTTTTTTTTTTGAAATACTGCGTTCCCCAACACTTTCGATATGCCGGCGCTGTTCTCCGCATGAGCACATCGCACCATCCACAAACCGACGGCCAGTTGGAACATGTCAATCAGTGCCTTGAAACCTTTCTGCGCTGCTCCACTCATTCATGCCCGAAGCGATGGAGCCATTGGATTCCACTCGTGCAGTTCTGGTACAACGCAGCACCACATTCGGCAATTGGCATGACCCCATTCATGGCCATGTTCGGGCATGAGTTGCGCCATTGGGGCATCACTGCCACCTCTTCTTGATCTGCCCTTGCTCTACAAACTTGGCTCGACGAACGTGCCACTATTCAAGACTTGTTGCAGCAACATCTTCAGCGGGCGTGCCTGCGCATGAAGCAACAAGAGGACAAGAAGCGCTCTGAACGCGCTTTCGAGGTTGGCGACCAAGTTTTCCTGAAGCTCCAACCTTTTGTCCAGACATCGGTGGCCAAGCGCGCCAACCACAAGCTCTCCTTCTGCTACTACGGACCATACTCCATCATCGCCAAGATCAACCATGTGACCTACAAACTGGAACTTCCGGCAAACACCTCGGTGCACCCAGTTTTTCATGTTTCGTTGCTCGGGAAAGCCCTTTTGCCAGGTATGCCAGTTCAACAACAACTCCCTATCACACCTGATGTCCCTGCAGTTCCAGCAACAATTTTGGCCTCGCGTTGGAGACGCAAGCGCGGTGCTATGGTCGAGTAGGTCCTCGTCATGTGGTTTGATACTGCGTCGATCGGCGACACTTAGAAGGACAAACAAGAACTTCAAGCTCGCTTTCCTGCTGCAGATGCTTGGGGGCAAGCCTCATCACAAGGAGGAGGTGTCAAGGCCACGGACAGGACGGGCTCTCCAGCCGGTAGTGACACGGCCTCGCCCCCGGCTGACCGGCTCGGCCCATGAGACAGAGATGGCCTAGCAGTAGAGTCCACGGGCCAGAGTTGGTGTGACCTGGTTTCCCTCACCCACTACTTAACCCATCTTCACACGCAAGTGCGGGTATCTAGTGGATCAACAACAAACCCGGCGGTGACTCTCTTCCCCTTTCCCCCATTGTTCCCCAATTCATGGCCTTCAAAGATATGGCGCTCTTCAACCAAGCAATGTTGGGCAAACAAGGCTGGAGGTTGCTGACTGACCCCGGATCGCTGTGCGCGCAGGTTTTGAAAGGACGGTAGTTTCCTTTTGGGGACTTCTGGAATGCTACTGCTACTGCTCCTCGTTCAGCCTTTGCCACTTGGCGTGCTATTCTGCACGGTCAGGACCTGCTCAAGAAAGGGGTGCGGTGGGGTATCGGGGATGGAAGAAGCACCCGCATTGTCAAAGATCATTGGATCCCCTCTACTCCACCATTTATTCTTCACCCTCTCTCTCACATTCCAGATTCTGCTACGGTTCATTGCTTAATTGATGAGGGAAATGGGTGTTGGAATGAGGAATCAGTGAGAGATTTCTTCCCCAAGGAGGTGGCAAATGACATTCTCACCATCTCCATTAACTCGGTGGGAGGACACGATTTTGTTCGTTGGCCTTTTACAAAATTTGGTGACTACACTGTCCGCTCAGCTTACAACTTGGCCAGGACGAGTTGCTTTCTGTCGGCTAAGAGCCGAAATGGTGGGGGTCAGAACTCGGATTGGCCCTTAGAGGAGAAGCTGTGGAAGAAACTGTGGAGTGTCAAGGTTCCAAACAAGATAAAAATATTGTTGTGGAGGTTTGCTCACGATTGCTTGCCTTCAGGCGAGCAGCTGCAGCGGCGTCAGGTTCCTACCAGGACTGACTGTGTTTTCTGCGGACGAGTTGAGAGTATTGAACATGCATTGCTCTTTTGTGCCCATGCAAGAGCTATCTCGGAGGAGATCAAGGGCGCTTTTGGCATCAAGCTGTGTCTCTCGTCTTTCACTTCATTGAAGCAATGGTTGTTCAGCCTGCTTGCTCGCGGAACGGACAAAGATATCTACATCATCACGGTCACCTTGCGGCACATCTGGGAGGCTCGAAATTCTGCCCGCAATGAGCCTGACCCCCCTCATCCGAAGCGGACTGCAGCGAGGACGCGGGCTTAGGTTGATATAAATTTTTTAGCATATTTTCAAGCCTGGAGCTGCAACTAGGCATGAGACTTCTGCTTCTAGCTTCTGTTGGTCTCCGCCACCGCAAGGTACGTTGATGGTGTCCTCTGATGTGGCGGTCTCTTCGGAGCGTGGGTTTGCTGCGGTGGGTGTGGTGGTGCAGGATCATTCCGGCCAATGTGTAGCAGCTGCTTCAGAACCTCTACCTGGTGTTTCATCTTCTGAAGTGGCTGAGGCCCTTGCTCTCCGTCAGGCGGTGTTTCTAGCTCGCCAGGAAAATTATACTCGTGCGATCTTTTAGTGCGACTGTCTCTCGGTGGTGCAAAGGCTACAGTCGTCGACACGGGATCGCTCTATGGTGGGTTCGATCATCGCTGATATCAAGACGACCTTTGTGCCTTTGCCTTTGGTTTCTTTTATGCATGTTCGTCGGCATTGTAATATTTTAACTCATGTTCTAGCTAGATCTAGTGTGGACTCTGTGAGTTCTTGTATCTTCCATTCTGTTTCGGATTGTATCTGGGAGACTTTATGTAATTTGTTTGCTTGATTAATAAAGTCCAACGTTCTCTAAAAAAAATCGTGTATCCTATGCCAGTGGGTTGTTAACAAGGCGGCATAATTGCTTCCTGTTCAGATCGCGCACTAGCGTTGTTTACAGGAACTCGAGCCGTGTGCCGCCGTGTGCAAGAACCGCGCACCTGCTGTTTTCCTCGGTAAAGCAGAGACCGTGTGCAGTCAGTGGTGTGCAGTGGACGGCTGCAGAGGTGCAGATTCATTGAACCGGGCTGCTTATCACACGCGTCTCCTTCGGAACCAGTTTGAGGCTCGGCATCATATTTGGAGTGATTGCTGCTGGACTAGCCGAAATTCTGAAACTTCTACTGCAAGATGGTCGGACAGATCTGATTCTACAGAGTGGTGACTTCACTTTCAGAACTTGCCACCATGGAATTGCATGAAGAGTAATGAAAATAGAGGTGTCTTAATCCACATATTTCAGATAATCAACCGCACAGGTATACAAGGTAAACAGGGTGAAGTAGATTGACCAAAAAAACTGATTTTACTTTTATTGATAAGAGAAACTTCCCGTGCACACGAGTATACAGAGATCGTACACTACAGCATACACAAAGTGAGAAGAGACTTCTCTTCTAATGAGTTCCAACACTCTGACGCTTACATATAACTTACACTAAATACTCTTCCGATGAGCTCCAACGCTCAGACACTTACATATAACTTGCACTATTACATACAGTACACAGAAAAAAAACAGCGTGTCCTCTTCAATCGCAGCATTGAAGAATGACCATATATAACTTACTACTAACACATATGATGATCGATCACTACACATATCACTAACTAAAGTGTTTCTGTTCGACGTGGCCTATGAAGAAAAAAGAGCGCTCCGATGGACAAGTACAAGCGGGGAAATTTCGTGCCGTGGTATGTACACCTACACCTCTGACATCAAGCTGCTGAACGACTCCGACAGATTGACGGCGACGCCGGCCAAATTCATGCCCCGGCAGCGCGACCGTGCAACCCTGTGTTGCTTGGGCGCCCCGGGGCCATCGTCTTCTTCCTCCCCATCCGCGGAGGCCTTCGACGGCGTCGCGAAGGCGAAATGCAGCTCCTTAGCAACCACTGTCTGCACAGATCAAATTGAGGAGAACAATGTCAGTCTACTTGGGCAAGGAATTTCACTGCAGGGCTTGGGTTTAGCAGAGAGGGATCAGCAGTGCTTACTGCTTCGCTGACTGGCTTCGACACCAGGAGGAGCTGCCTCAGGTCGCTGTGGTTCACCTTGCACAGGACTTTGACCTGAAATGTTTCGCCAAATTGGGATGAGCAACACATCTAAAACAAGAACGGATTTCAAATGGAACACTACGGGTCTGGGGTAGTAATTACCAAGACATCTTGAGGCAGCGATTCAAGAAGGCAGATGGTGTCGTCCATGTGGAACCTAATGCTGCGCTGCTTGCGCAGAGTCCGCACCGGGGAGTGCGGGCCTGAGGAGCTCGGGGCCGGAGAAACAGCGACCCTCTTCCTCCCCAGAATCCTTGTGCTGCCGCTGCTTGGGAAGCTCAAGCTGGTGGCGAGAGACCCCTTCGGCATAGTCTGTCCAATTGCCATCTTCGCTTTCGCTTGTTGAACTCTACTGCTGCAGTTGCCTATCTGATTGAGATCTGCACAGAATTATTAAGAAGAAATGGTTAATTCGGCAGCAAATAAATAAAATTCGAAGTACTTTGCATCAGTAATTCAACTTAAACGCATTTTTGTTGGAAACATCCGAAACACCCAGCAGCCACTTTCATATGAATCTATAAACCCCCAATTCGAGAGACTCTGGGAGCAATAAACTCCAACAGAAACCTCAAGCATTTTCCAAAAAAAAAAAAAAAATCCAACCTCTCTTCAACGCACTTTCAAAACAGATTCCCCCGAGAAACAACATTCCGCGAACTACTTGAACCGCTTCGCAGAGCTAACGAGCAACAATCGGAACAGAACAGCAAAGTTTGGGGGATTGCAAATGATTTTTTTCCAGCCCAAAATAAACGATTCCAAATAAACACCACGAATTCACCGCGATTCGCCGGAGCAGAACAGCAATCACGACCTCGATCAAACAGATAAAGGAAACGAGATCCCACGATCGGGGTTGAAACTGAAAGGAAACAGAGCAAGTGAATGTAATCGATTCCACACACCTTTCTCCCTTGGGTCTCCGCTGAAGCCTCCTCCTCCTTCCTATCCCTCACTCCGGAGTCGCGCAGCACACTTCCCTAATCCGATTGGGCTTGGCTGATGGAGAAACCTCGGCTGAACTCTAAGCGAACCTACCTGCTAAGTTATGGTGTTGGGAGGACCTGACGAGGTAAATGTGGGAACAGCTTGACCTCTTCCCCCTGGCTGAATTTATACTCGGGGTGGGGAACCTACCTCGAAAACCCTTCCAGCAGGGGTGTTTCCAGAAAATTGTAGGAACCGCCCGGAATCCAAAGCTGGGGGGTCGTGCTCGCGCAGGAGATCTTTCCGGCTCACGCCCTGGCGCACCGCGGCAACCAGAATGTATCACTGGGGGGTGGGTCAGGGAGTAAGATGGTCCACCGGTCAGTGGGAGTGGGGGAGGTGCGTACCGCTATGGACGGTGGGAATTTGCGGATATATTCTTTTCGAAATCGAGGTGGGTTGGCGCCCAACCGCGTGGGGGGCTTGAACGCGTGGATCGGACGGCGGGGGCGCGGCCATACGCGTGGCGGATCGGGGTACGTGGCGCAATCGCGTCGATCCGAAAACTAGCCGTTGGAGGGGGTGGGGTTGGTGACGTGGTGGCTGAGATCGGTATTGGCCGCTAGGAAGTCGGCGCAGGTCGGTCGGGGAGGGAGCTACTTTATTGGGGGTTGTTTTTCTCGTTTTGATTGCTTCTGAAATCAAATCAGTGGAATCTCAAAAAAAAAATCAAATCAGTGGGAAAGGGGATTGGCACGAACCTTCGGGGGCAAGCAAAACATGATTTGCGTCTTGCCGCTTGCAAGACATTCGGCTTGCTGTTTCCTCGTGATTTGAGCTTTTTCTTTACCTACCATAAACTTGCTAGGAGTAATATTTTACTTAGGCATATGCTAACTAATTCTCCCGCAAAAAAAAGGTACATAACAAATTATTTGCAAGTTTTCATTTAAGAGACTCTGGTTTAGAGTCCGCCACGGTATCTTCAGGAAATGCATTTTGTTCTTTTTCAACAGGTAAATAACTGAAAAGAATATTGCTACAAGCAAAATGCCACTTCCCAACAGTAAAGAAAACCATGGCTGTGGATGGTACAGAGACGATGCATGGCATGCCTGAAGCCTGACACTTGATGCGCATTGGATTCTTCTGTGGAGCTTAGAAATAATCTTAATTTTGTGGCGATGCTACTTACTACCTTCATCTCATTTTTTCCCCATAGAATTCAATTTCCATTTTTATGGGCACATACCAAGGGGTACCGCCACAAACCAGTTCTTTGTAGTACCATTATTATAGTTTCTACAAGGTTTGAACTGGCGAAAGCGTTGCTCTGTTTGTGTATATTTTTTGACGTCGCGTTTGAACGCAGGGACGGGGGCCAAGTGGAACCACCCCAAATTTCGTGTCTCATGTATGAAGTGGGTTTGACCAACCACCCTTCGTGCGCAGCGGCTGCTACAAAGTATAGTAGGCTCCTGCTCATGGTAGCGCAACGCTGGGTGCGGGTTGACTCAGTCCCCAGTGTGTCTAATGATCCAACTCCGTCACGGTTTCGACCACCGTGCGGCCAGGATTTCACTGAGCCTTCCCTGGCATTATTTTGTTGTCCCGGCCGGAGGCGCCGGACGCACCAATACCGCCCATGCCTTCCCGGTGGTTACCACGTGGTGGCTTTCCGGCCATGCTTTTTTCCTCCACGAGCGGAGCAGGCGTACCAGATCCACCCATTGGCCGCCGCCGCCGCGTAGCGCCGTAGCCTTGGTTCAGCTTGTTTGGGTTCTCGCGGTCGCGGATAAAGATTTTACTCGTGGAGGAGACAGGCCGGTCGGCGAGAACGTTGGCGTGCAGGCGCATGGGATGCGCTTTGGTCGAGAGGAGTCCACATCTATCCTTGCCAAGCTCGACCAACTTCTGGTTTTCAAGACACCCGCTTCGTGTCTAGGACTAGGCAAGGACTGTGCCTGCCAATGCTCCACTACCATTTCCGCAAAAAAAAAATTTGCTCCACTACCAATTTTAGTTTACCTTTTTATCTATATATACTGACCAATTTATTGGCAAGCAAAATCTTAACCAAGTTTTGGCTACCCAACTTTTTGGCATGGTAACCTATCCCTCTAGGTGCCGCTATGCACGCGTATCAATCTGTCGTAGAAAGGTTAGGAGGACCGTTGTATCTCCGGAGTATCAGAATTCAAATTCTAGACTTGACATTGGTGCTCGCATTTTCTTAGATTTATTTCAAGTCTTCTGACGATGTGCGTTCAGTGGGAGGAGACGTTCCCGTCGAGTACGAAGGCGTCTGTGGCGACTTTATCAATCTCAAGATAATGTGTCGGCTTAGTCTTCCAGAGGTGCTCCTAGGGATAGGGTGTGTGTGTGTTGATATGGGTGAATGTATGTGCATATGTATAAGTGTCTACGTCTACACTGTGTTCAAGAAAAAAGGTGCCGCTATGCACATTTAGACCAGCCAAAACCCTTTTCGGTTTTGGGAACCTTCCCAGAGATTTCTTTTATTTTTTTCCTCCTATTCCATTTCAAAAATCCCGAGTTTTCGAATTCACAAATATTTTTGAATTCGTGAAGAAACAATCACCAACATTTTTAATACATATTTATTTTTCAAATATGTGAATATTTTTTGAACTCGCAAATATATTTTTTAATGTTGCAAATACTTTTACAATTCCTAAATATTTTTTTTTTAAATCCAAGAGTAATTTTCAAACACTTTTTAAAATTTAAAAACATTTTATTTTAAAAAAAATTGAATTCACGAACAATTACTGAATTTGCAAAAGTTCACAAACAATTGTTGAATTTGCAAAAAATCACATCCCAAAATTTTGCAAATTTTGGAATGTGTAAAAAATAAGTTAGGGTTAATAAAAAATCTTTTTGTAAGTGATTGATTGATCTTAACTAGATTTACTATGATTTGATAGAATTATTTGTTATTTGTGGCTCAAAATAATTTCAGAATTATCAAGAACCCTAAAATCATCTTAGGTTTTATTTATGAAACCAAAATTCAGCCTACAAAATGTGTGTGACCCTCGTATATAATATTTTTGGTTGGAAAATAATTTCCTGAATCCCACATATCATTTGAAGCACTAAATAGAACTGGAAAATAATTGAACCCTAATTCAATTAGGGAGGTAAATCAGATGTCCCAAAGGGTGAAAAAATAATTATTTAATTTGGGCTGAAAAGTATTTTCCTAAGTTCGAAATATTAAAGTGAGTCTCTATTATTTTTCCTAAAAGAATTTGGAGCAATTTTGATGTTGAAATCAAATTCAAAAAGGAAAGGAAATTAAATAGAGAAAAAAGAAAACAAACCAGCCTACCCCAGCTAGCTCTAACCCATCTAGCGCCTAGCGAGCGCAACGCAACAACAGCACAAGACCGACCAGACCTAATAGTCCCCAAATGCAGGGAGTTATTGCAGCACTCTCCAAGGTGGATGCGGAAGCATATGGAGTGTTGAACCAAAGGAGGCTAAAGGTAGGTTTCCTAATGTCTCAAGTTCCTTTATGCCACTTACACAACTATCCACGCATTTAACGTCTACTATGCCTAGGCTGCCTACAACTAAGATATGATGCAAAGGTAGAACTGGAGTATACTTAGTAAAAAGGTTTTCAAGGAGGTGACTAAAGTATTTACAAAATACAAAAATAAAGTATTAGAGTGGAAGTGCTTCCTTGAATTTAAGTCAAGCAAATGAGAGGAGGAACTTTCATCAACCAAGCCAAACATATCCAAGACATGCTAAAGAGGTTCAAGATGGTAGATGCAAACCCCATCAAGACATTACATCCGTACATAGGCATTACATCCGTGACAAGTAGACCGACATCCATCTGCATCTAATACTATTACTCCACTTTGAGATTGCTTCTATGCTTGCCTCTCTACATATTAAGTTCATAACAAACAGAGTAATGCTTTAATAATGATGACATAATGTAGACAAAATAAGACCAAGCAATATGATCGAACCCCATCATTTTACCTTTAGTAGTAAAAATACAAACATGTGTCTTGCTACTCCTTCTGTCACGAGGTGAGGACACCACAAGATTAAACCTACCACAAAGCACCTCTTTTACTGAAGATAAATCAATCTAGTTGGCCAAACTAAACGGACAGATCAGAGAGAAATACAAAGCTATAACAATCACACATAATAAAGTTCAGAAAATAACTCAATTACTTTCAGTGAACAATCTGATCATAAATCCACAATTCATCGGATCCCAACAAACGCACCACAAAAGATTACATCATATTGATCTTTGAAGATCAAAAAGAGAGAGGGGGCCATCTAGCTACTACTATGGACATGCAGGTCCGGCGAGGAACTAATCATGCATCATCGGAGAG